TGATTTAGAGCATCTGGCTCATAAGTCATAACACTGAACATATGTGCAAAGCAACAAATATGCTAAGCTGATGTGCAAAGCCTGCAAGCCTATCAAAAACCTCGAAATAGAAATATAAAAGCACACTAAAAATTACGCATAAAAGCTGAACAATTTGAAATTGCCAAGGTCCACAAATGAAAAATATTTTTTTCTCAAACACAAAAGCCACGTATCATTATATTAAGAAGGAAAGAAAGAAAGGGGATTGACCCCGTACAAAAAACAACTCACCCACGCCTCACACCTTTGCAGTGAATTACACACGCACAAATGGAAAAATATTAGGAGACTTACATCAGTAGAGATTGTAACACCTCGGGTGTTAGCCTTGCATAACTTGACTTGCATAACATGAGCATGAGCATCAAGCATTCATAAATCATCATTTACAATTGAAACATGTGATCGAAACATATGAAACATTGCTTGTTATTTCGTGTTTCTTGGAACATATGCATATGATCATGTGCAAATGAATGCAAGTGGGTAATGTTAGTCACTAAAACACCTTAGCTACACTTAGGTTAACAAAAGGAACCTTGTTCATGAAGGTCACCTTTCATGATCAAGCACGTAAGTAATATTACATGTGTTGACCTGGATAGCTCTATGAGTGACTACTACATGAAATGCTTAAATGACCTTGCAAATTGCTTAAACATGCTTAGAGTATCATCATGAACAACTTTGGTATTTAGGGCTAGGGCTAGTTTGGTCATTAAGCCATGCTTTGATGTGTTTCATCATTCAAAAGTGACATGTTTGACCAAAGTTGAACTAGGTGTTAGAGACCTTGCATGGAGGAGTTCACTAAATCAAAGTTGTAGTGTTTGACATAAGGAACAACTTTTATTTTTGAGTCATTGATTGATTCAGCTCCTAACATGCTTGAATTTGGATTTCAAAAATCATCAAATCCCTGATTTCAGCACTAAGCAAATTTCGCTAAGTCATGAACACTGACCGACTGACAGGCTCACTTTGGGGATGATTTTACTCGGTTTATGTTGCGAATTAGAGTATGTTGCCTTAACAAGAGTTGGAGATGGTACTTAGATCTACAAGTTTGTTGTTGACGGATTTCGATTTTGCTGCACGGTTTAAGTGAACGAACGTCAGCAAACCGCGCTGTCAGGCATGAGCGATTGCTTGTCTGACGAACTGAATCGCCGTTTCGGTGGCCGACCGGCGCAGAGCATTGCCGCCGTGGCGTGTGAATCGCCGCTGTCGCCGCCGGTCTGTCCACACAAGAAAGCCACGACGCTACTGGCGCGCGCTTTCTTCACGCCAAATACGCCGCCTTTCACCACCAAGGCCCATTTTCGCCACCTCGGCCTTTCTTCCTCGCAGCGGCGGACGCCGAGCTCTCGCAGCTCCGCCCGTCGCCATAACCGCACAGCGACTCGCGCCTTAGCCACTCCAAAGACCACCGCCATAGCTCCACCGTCTCCCCAAAGACCCCATTGCTTCTCCCGTGCGTTCACGACAAGATTTCAGGTAAGCGCCAGCAGCCAAGCATGCAAGCTCATGCGGAGTTCCGCCGTGAGCCCCGTCGTCGTGGCCACGCCGCCACGATCCTTCTCCGCCCGCTGTTGGCTAGCCGCGCTAGGTCCCCAGCGTTCATTGTTGCTTGTCCGCATCTTAGGTTGGGCCGCCGGGGTCGTCACCGGCGTACTGCCGATTTCTCGCCCCGCCATTCCGCCATGGTCGCCGCCGTCAGCTCTTGGGTCGATGATACGTCCGGCCATGTGGCTCAGTAGGTTCGCTAGGTCGCATAGATCACGTAGCGTAGACCTCACCGCCAGCGAAGCTCGCCGTCGACGAGCCGCAGCCAGAAGCGTTGCCAAGCAGCCTGCCCGCTCTGCTCGAGTCAATGACATGTAGGGGTCCCCTGACCAGCGGGTCCCACCGGTCGATGAACAGAGAGATGAAGGATAGTTCATTGATTCCAGTTTTTGATTTCTTTTGTGATTTTCATATCTTCAGTTTGATAGCTCCTAAAATTTTGAAATAAATTTGTGAGTGTTCTGTAGAAAGAGTAGTATTTAGAAAAAATATGTTCTTGACTTGTACAGTAGAAATTTTTGGAGATTTAAATAAGGATTTGAAATGTGTTTTTGAATGCATTCAAATTTGTTTATTTTATATCTAGAGTTCCTGTGATCTAAAAATTATGAAATTTTTGTGGTGAGCTATTCTTAGCAGATATGAGCTCTAGTAAAAATTTGGGGACCAGTGCATGGGTAGATTTATAGTTATAGATTTTTCTTTTATGAATAGTCAATCCTTGCATAAATTTTTATAAATTATTTATGAGTCCAAAATTCATGAAATTTGTTGGAGGTAATACTAGTACCATATGGATGATAAGAAAAATAGGAAATCTGTTGCTTGACACTTTTCAATAGGGTTTTCCATTTATGTTATTTCAAGCCTTGCTGCCTTGTCATTTTTGCATAGGATGTTCTACTTGGTAAAATGACATGAAATTTTTATAGTAGTCCTTTGATAGCATTAGTAAGGCACTGTAAAATTTTGAGAATTTATTAAGTACTTCTGATATATATTTATTATTTAACCTAGATATATAAATAAAATGATAAAGGCAATTAAATAAATAGTTTGGGCTTCACCATTATATGATTCTAAATGTAATTGGTATGGTTAAACTGTTGGTGGATTCTATGTTGTCAAATTTTGAATGATTGCATGAAGTAGAAGTATCGTTACTTTATGTTGCATGTTGAATAGTTTCCGGACTGATTCTAGAGTTTGATGAGTTGCATGTTGAAAATAATGTGTACTGTAAAAATGGTTAATAACAAAGTTGTAGAGAATTTGATAAGCTTTCCAGAAAGTCCAGGATCACTGGATTTGGATTTGTAGAACTCCCGTTATGAGTAAAACAAGTAGCTGCTATTTTATGGTATAATCGATGCATTATGGAAAGATAATTAAATAACCGAGAAGAGATATGCACCTACTCAATAAACATGATGCACTTGTTAACATATATGCATTCGTAATACTTATGCCATACTCATGCATCTAGGATCGGAGGAAGAGATCACGTTGTTGGAATTCAAGAAGCGAGAGGAAGGGAACCAAAGAGGGAGGATCCGCAAGCCGCAGCTCCTGGCGTGAGCGTAACCCTCAAGAGCTTCCGGAGTGTCCCGACCACCGCCCTACTTCCTTTCTCATGAGGCAAGCCCTAGAGCATTATAAGTCTCCCAAATTTATAAATATTTACTTAAGTACTTATGATTGCTGCATTAGGTTATAAGAGTTGAATGAAACCACTTGATGCATGTACCTTCCTTGTCCAGATATTACACCTTTAACCGGTATAGGTCTAGGATCGAATAAATGCTTAGCCATGCTTAGACCGGTAGAAGTCGGGTGATTTCTGGTCACTGCGAGATATAGGTGGATACCGAGCACGGTTGGTTAAAACCGCTATCGTGGAAAAGAACCATGGTTAATATAATTGGAGACCCAAGGCGGGATGTCGATAGAGAAGCAACAAGACATGGAGGTCTTGGGTGTGGATCTATCCCCGTCTGCTTCGATCAAGGACCGTACTGTTGTTGGAACTTCCGACAAGATTGAACGCATGCCTCTCACTTAGCGGGCGGATAATTCGTTCCGACCGCTGGCCGAGTAATTCAACTCAGTAGAATCGCTCACAGCGCTCCTTCCGGAACGATCGACCGAGCCCAAGGGCGTGCTTGGCTTCGAGCATCCCGGCATCCGGTGTTCCAGATCGTCGGCGCAAGACGGACCCGCCAAATGTGTACCGGAGTTGTACCAAAGGTGACCTAAGGCTATCGTGGTCGGTAGACACTGGTTTGTGTTAGGAATAAATTCCACCGGTTGAAATCGATTCAATCGCCGCCTCTCCCGGATAGTGAGAAACTTGGCTAGCTCCAACATCGTAGTAACTGTACTATGGAACATGATGGTTCGAATGAAAATGGAATTACAATACCTGCTATGGTTACTATTGTATGCTTCTAAATGATATACCACATGTTTGGCACAGGATAGTTGCTAATCTAGAAATGAATAGTTATAATTAACTTGGTAAAGGAATCATAATTGTACAACGTATCGGTTGCCTTTTTCGCAAAATGTTGTCAAGTTACGTCCACTTATACACCTTGCATAATCCTTGGAGTCATTTTATTTTCTCGGTTCATGACGGGTAAGTCTAGCTGAGTACACCTTTCGTACTCGTGGTTTATTTTCCGTTGTTGCGGATATGGCACTGTATATCATGGTTATTGCAAGAGTTGCTTCTATCCCATTGTGGATGAGGAGTAAGCCTTGGGCAGTGCTTCTTTAGTAATTCCTATCCTTGCTTTTGTGGACCGTGATCTAGCTTGGCACTGTATCAAACTATGTTGGAAACTTTATCTTCGAACTTATTTGCTTCCGCTTTATTTATCAAACTCGGTTTGTAATAACTTTTATTCGTACTCTGATGATGAAAAGTATCTGTGAACTATATGTAATATGTGGCATGTATGTTGAATCCTGTACGATCTTGGTTGTTGTAAATCGTTTATCGAGACCCGTCGTGGTACTCGACGGACTACCGGGTTTATATGGGTTCAAGTATGACGGTGCGACCGCTTGCGGATTGCCATTGTACTTGTATTCTTATAAATTGGTCGGTTCTGCGACAGAGATTACTCGGCTCCACCATGTTAAGAATTCTTGAATGTGAGAATGGTTTCCATTTTTTGGTACTATTGGATAAACTTTAAAATTGTACAGCACTCAGCCATCACAGGTTCTATGCTTCTGTGCTGTGTGTGCGCGATGCCAGAGAACCAAGATAGAGATACTGCCACATAATATCCTGTAGGCATACTGTGGGCGTACTGCTTTTTTTTTTATCAGATCACAACTCAGTGAGGTTCGACATGCTCATCACAGAATGCCAGATTGGTAATTCACTGGATAAGGCTAACACCATCCTGGTCATTGAAAAGGAATATTCTCAATTAACACAAATATGGTACCATTCAAAAAAGTTCAAATTGTATTAGTAAATTGTTATGTTTCCAGCAGGCCAAAGGAATATGAGTAATTGAGTACCAAAGTCTTACATCCATAATAGAAAACTTCCCCTTCGTTTTGAGGTAAGGTTGCACCCACTCAGAAGTATGCACAGGAAGCACCTCACTTTCCAGCACAGAGGGAACTTCTGCTTCTACTGTAAAATAAAATTAATAAGATTCTAGTGACCAAGAGAGTAAACTATAAATAATCCATAATATATTATATATTCATCAACCTATACCTTGAAGGTTTATCCTGTGCTTAACAAAGGACTGCAAAAACACAATTTTAGAGAAATTTTAGCCTGCAAGGTCATGATTATTCCAATACGTTAAAGAAGAGGGAAATTGACATTATATACATGAGTACTCATCAAAAAAGATTGAATCTCAGCGTCAATTTATCAGACCTGCCATATTGATGGCATATATTCCCGATTAGAGAGAGTTCTTTCTTCCTCCTGTCTTGAATACCCCAAACCAGTTGAATCCGCCAGAATGTATTTTGAAGAAACCCTAAATACCATACAAGATACCAAACATTTTCAGGTGGGGTGCCCAAACTATATATTTTGAAAAATAAACAAGCTATACTGGAGGCAAATGTTATTGAAATGTTCAACAACGATAAGGATCCATTAGTTCATTTTATATACTACAAAATTGCAATATGATTCACCTCCCATCATATTCAAGCAAAGTAGCCCACGCCGTGCCAAAACCTAATGCATTAACACTCAAAGGTAGGTTCAAATAGAAAATATAATCTCAGTGTTTAATATCCCAAGCTTTGAGAATAAATGTTTCTGTTTTGAACAAAGAATAAATGCTTCCCAAATGATATATTGTTTGAACTGAAAACATAACCAACACTAATTAGAACAAATAGTTACAAACATTAAGACTGATATATAGCTCTGACGTCCTACAGTTACATGGCATCACAAAACACAAATTTGCAAAGTAGAATTGTTTAGAGAAAAGTGAGGCTACAATATTGATTACCAATTGAAGTCATTTGCTGTTGTAGTGCCTTCCCCATAAATGGGTGCCTTTGTGACCAAAACCAATGCAGGTTGAAGTTGTAAAAGCTTGCGTAACTCGTGGACAACACTTTCAGTAATGCTTTGCAGTGTTCTCCTGCACCAATAATTCTAATTGGCCCAAAAGCACAGAGATAAAATTCTGATATAAGCATTTTAGCTAAAAAGGAACTGTGAAACTGAACTGATACAGTTAAAAAATATAATTTGGTGCCATTACTGCCTGTTAGCATGTCTATAACATGATATAACTATTACATTGTTTTTTATATGCAGACAGTATCAGAGTGGCCAAATTTCCTGGCCAAACTACTCTCCCTTTTCCTTTCCCAAAGGCAAGGTCTTCTACTCCCACATGTTGCAAGGAAGTTCCTTCGAACAAAGTAGAGATAAAACCTTCTTTTGATCATCCACATGTCAACATTGACTTTAACACAATAGATGAAATGATAAAATAAAATAAAAAAACTATGCCAAATCGACAGTTGCTGCATTGAATCTAGCATATGGAAAATCAAGCAGTTATGATAAGTATTAGTGTTTCACTGTTTCTTCAAATCACCCTTTATTCTCTCGGGCAGGTTGAGAACCACGATCTATCCAGTAGAACGCACCAATGCTGTAAAAAGGGGTAGGGTTCAACAAAAGTTTAGCCATAGATATGGGAATGAAAATCAAAAGTTATCTGCCTTAGTAAAAAAAAGGTTAAATATCACTTGTCGTTTTCTATGGAACAGCAATAAGCCAATAATTATAATAGGACCAGTTAGAGCAAAAGGTGTAACAAGTCTAACCTAATCTTAAATTTGTTGTGAAGTATTAGTGGATTGCCCACCTCTTCCCAATCGCTTAAGCTTTTGGGTTCACTTGGTTGGTGCATGAAACCTAACAAAATTCAGATAAAATATAGAGCAAAATACCTGTACCTGTCTATCATAACAAAATATATACCAGCACTGGACACTTCCCTCCTTGATTGAGACTTTACAGTCTAAAGTAATGAAATCAGAAAAAAAAAAAAAGATGTCAGGTTTCATTTTCCACCAATGCCCCTATTAATTGCCTATATATAGTAGTATTTGAGACTTGATACTATAGTATGTACTTGTCATGGACATACTTTAAATGGCCCCGAACCCAAGCTGCACGACTATGCCAATGCCCGGCGGCCGCACCTTAAGAAAACTTGACCCTTAAGAACTTGTGATCTTTCTTGGTTAATCCAAAGGAGATACAATCTCATCCATATATAGATGAGAAGACTTGACCCTTAAGAAAATAATCTCTAGAGTTAAGGAAAAAACAACTCAATCTGATCTGATCTAATCTAATCCCTAACTTAACAAACCCTCAGTGGAACCAGCGTAAACAGCAATGTGCCGACCCTAGGGAAGCCTGGATTGACCCTTCCTCCATCCTTGGGCTCTAATGGACTGGACACGATAGTGCTCCTTTCTTGTAATGTGTGCACAGACTAAAAGTGAAAGAAGTAATTCAGACGCAAGGAAAAAATATCTTATTTCTGGGCAGAGCTTGGACTCTAAAGCAAAGTAGTATTAAGATGTTGTGCATAAGGTGGTGAGTGTGAAAACAGTTCTAGAAAGCCAGTGTTATTGACACTTCTCAAATTTGGACCTAGTAAAATCCAATTTTGTTTGACAAGACTAATAAAAGAAATAAAAACTCAAATGATTTCAGAAGTGACTAAGTGAGAAGTGTTTGATGCTAAATGTGTAACATACAGATACAGCATAGTTGGCTGTTAGCAAATATCATCTTTTCCAAAACACACACAGAAAATTTCATGCGTGGCCAATAGAAATAAGCAATTCTGTATTCTTGCCTAGCTAACCGCAGAAACTTTTTTCCCAATTACTAACCACAAATAATCCAGCCAGTTCTTTCCAATGGTTCTATAGGTCAGCAGTAGCAATTTAAGATAGACCAGTTGCTATAAAAAAAAAATTTACACCAGCTCAAGCAAGTGAGGAATATATGAGCATGCCAACCAGGTAGTGATTTCCTGAGATAAAGGCCGCAAACACAGAGAACTTACCTTCACAGCAGCTATGAATTCAGGACTGTTGCAACATCGGGCATACAAGAAGCGCTAAATGCAATCAGAAAACAGTGTGTTTTCAAGAGAACACTGAAACTCATCTTTAGTGCCATCATTTTCAGGGTCTCCATTTCTAAGGTGCGCTGAACCTGTCAAATGTGAAAGAGGCTCTATGAAGATATGCAGTGCAGATTGATGAAATTATAGAGCACATAAAATGTTTACACTGAGCCCAGGCTCTTCGATATGCAACAGCGCAAGTTAAAAATACAAAATCAAGAATGTAAGTGGAACTTACGGCAGCCCTCTGCAATACGATTCCTCAGAATTTGAGCCAGCCGTAGCACATCACATCGGCAGTCCAAGTCCAAATACATGACTGCCCTCCCCAGCCCCCCAAAGTAGATTCCCTCCCACTCCTTTGGTAATATGCACTGCACTGCAGCCTGAGATAAGAAACTTAGTGTATTTTAGCTGTTCCAATTTATTTGAACAAGGATGGAATTTTAATGACAAATTAGTCCCGGTGTTTTGCTTTTCCAAATAAGAGCCTCTTGTTTGTATAATCTCGAAACTCAGTATCAAAATGCAAAGTGGTTTTCCTCGTTTCCAGTATGAAGCATTGCAAGTGAGCAAGCGCCAAGAGGATGGAACAACTGTGTTCCCTTGTTTTGAAGATATAAGGTATGCATCAACAGTGTCAGAAACTATTGTAGCCTATCAAAGTTGCCAATATTCCTAAAAGTCCTGCAAATTTCCAGTTATAAGTATAGAACCTAACCAACATTGCATTAGTACACACTCAGTTACTCATGATATAGCTTATATGTTTTTTCTCATTTTATGACGATACTCTTGGCGACCATTACTGGAACACTTCCAGCAATACTGCGAACGCGCCACCAGGTTGGCCCCATTTGCATCATATTTTGGGCCAAAGGAATAGAAACGGTGTGGATTTGCTTACCATGAGGAGGAGGTGAGACTTGCCAGAGTTGGACGGGCCGGCGATCTCGACGACGTTGCCCGGGCGGAGAGGCGCGCGGTGGAGTGGCGGCGGGAGGGTGATGGGGGGGCGCGAGGAGAGTGAACGGGAGAGGAAGGCCGCCGCCGTCTCGTCGACGGCTAGCCACGCTCGGGGGTCTCTTCCCGCCTCTCCGGCCATGGCTAGGGCTCTGGAGCTCTCGTCGCTCTTTTTCACCGGAATTTCGAAGAGCCGTTTAGCCGTTTGCCATTACAGAAGAGGGTCGAGTCCTACGGCCATTAAAAAGTTCGAATGCACCAACGTGTCTTTTTTTTTTCTCAAACCATTTCGTTCACTTTTCTATTAACGGTATCAATTGCATAAAAAAAAAGTCCCAAATACCCTCACTTTGATGTCACGGCTTCTGTCCGTCCTCATCTCCCACAGCGCGGTCAACGGAACGAGGAAAGGAGGAGAGCGATAGAAAAAGAGAAGAAGGGAGGAGGAAACGGGACAGAGGGAGAGAGCGGCGATGGGGCCACGGAGAGCAAAGGGCAGCACGACGGCAGCACCGGCGAGGGAAGGCACAGCCGCGTCGGCGGCGGTCCTGGGCGGCCGGCATCGACGGCGCTCGGCTCCCAGCGCGGTGGTGGCCCGATGCAAAGCAGAGGGCTGAAGGGAAAGCAGAGAGGGAGCGCGGGGAAGGTCTGGCTCAACGGCGCGGGGCGGCGGCGCTTGGAGCGGTGTAGCAAGGCGGGGAGGAAGAAGAAGCAGAGGGAAGAGGCGGAGTAGAGGGGCGACAACGACAGCCTTGGTGCCGGCAGCGGCGGTCTCAGCTCCGACGAGGGAGGCAGGGACAGCGGCGGGCAGCAGCGGAGACAGGGCCGCTCTATTGTCTCCTCAGGTACGTCGCAGCCGCCGTTCGCGAGGACAGGGGCGGTGCTCGTGGCGGTCGCCTCACCGTCCGCGTCTGTCGACGGCAGCGACGGAGTCTCGCTTCGCTTCCCGATCTCGCCGAGCCTGTCGTTGACGCGCTTTAGTTGCGGGAGCATCCTGGCCGCGCGCTCGCGGTCCCGTGGCGCCGACGCCGCCACGTCGGCGTCCAGGAACTGCTCCACGAAGCCGAGGAACCAGCCCCTTGACTCCTCTCTGAGCCGCTTCGCCAGCTCGCCCCTCTCCTCGGTGCCTCCTCCCCTCTCCCACTCCGGCGGCGCGGGCGTCGTCGGTAGCGCCGTTGCGGCCGCCGCAGTGCCCGTCCTCGCCTTCCCCTTCACGGGGGACAGCCGCGACTTGGGGGACGGCGATGATTTCGCTGCCGTGGTTATTAGTCCAAACAATCTAACATAGGTCCTAACTTAACAATTGTATTATATAGTATTCGATTATGAGGTAATGCGCAACCATAACAAGACTATACGAGAGTCGGAAATACCACCGATGTTGCATTGACATTTGGGACCTATATGGCAGAATCTAGCTGACATGCTCATATGCGATGGCATTTCCAACTCTAGCACCTTCGGAATGGAATCTATGCGCTTGTCTAGGCCTACTCGGGTCATAACATGAACATTTACGTGTATGTTCATCACATCATAGTCGCTGGGTCATATGAGTTGATTTTAACGAAAACGAGACACACCAATCTGATTCAACAAAATAGCTCACCACCCTAAAAACGGACGTCTGTTCTTTAGGGAAAACGTCTGTTCTTTAGGGAAACTGCAGGTTTCTAGATCTGTTTATATATCATTGCTACTCTGTTGTGTCACTCGTGTCAGTTGTCACACGAGCTGTGCATGCCCTGCAACGGAAAAAGAGTACCTTTCAATAAAAAAGGATCTGTGGAAAGATCTCTGCTCAGAATCAAGCATCAAACGATGCATGGGCACATGGCCGGCACCCATCAGCCATCACCTCCTGCCGCGGCGCATAGATTTATCGCTAGTTGAAGCGGTTAGCCAGGCACAGTCCACTAGGCTAATGCTATGCCAGTGGTATTCTATGGCCCTCATCGCTTTGTTGAAAGGCATGGCGAAGTACTGTTTGCTGATTTGTTGTTTGAGAAAAACGTTGTTTATTTGCTGAAATAGTACGGTTCATTAAAAAAAAAACAGAGCCTATGTGGCGGACGGCGCAGCTCCGATTCCTTCGCCGGCAAGCGCAGCGGCCGACGGCCCCCATCGCCCGACGCGCCGCGGAGGCGTCACATGCCTCTTCCCGCCACCAGCGTGCTCCGGAGTCCGATCGGATCGGCATCGCCCAGCGGCCCAACCCAACAACAGCGGCGCGAAGATCTCGTTCACTGAGCGGTGGGCCCCACGGGAACTGTGGAGATAGGCTGATAGGGCCAAGTGGGTGTTCGATGGGGCAGGGCGGCACGGCGACCAACCGATTGGCCCGCCTTTGCGGCCGGGCACGCATCACGCACGTGACTCCCGTGCGATCGCCTCGCTGCCGTGCCGCCTGCTTCCTTCTGTTCGGCCGTTCCCCGCTTGCCCTCGCATTTGCTGTAGCACGTAGCAGTTTACAGTTACGTGTGCCTCCATTAGCTAAAGGCCAAGCCAAACGGCTCCGCATCGCGCGGTGGGTGTGTCTTACAGGTGGGGCCGATAAGAGATGGCCCACGGGTCAGGGTCGCTGGAGAAGTGGGGTTAGTCGGGCGGATATGTAATCATCACGGGGTTATAGGGCCATTTGGGAGTGGTTTATCCGTGTTCGTTCGAGCGTATCAGCCATGTCTATCGATCATCGTGTTTTTCTCCTACAGTAAAACAACATCACCCGACTTAGGCAAGCGAACAGACCGAATTATTACCAGGCGGGCGGCGGAGGGGAGGGGAGGGAGCTCGAGCCCGCTGCTAATGGCGGAGAGCCCGAGCCCTGATCCAAGGTCCGGTGGCGGGGCGAGCCCTGACCCGCACCCGCCGCGGCCGCAGCTCACCAAGTCGCGCACCATCTCTGGCTCTGCTGCGGCGTCCATACTGGCCGCTGATAGGGTAGGAGGAGGAGGCGGCGGCGGCGGCGGTGGTCTGAGGGACAGCATCCTCGTTCGCCGCTCCTCCACGGCGCCCCTCCCGCCGTCGACGGCGTCAGCGGCGGGGGCGTCCTCGGCGCCGCGGCGGCTCACCGTCGCCGTGGACGACCCCTCCTACGCGGCACCCAACGGCGGGGTGCTGGACCGCGACTGGTGCTACCCGTCGTTCCTAGGTCCGCACGCCTCGCGCCCGCGCCCGCCGCGGCAGCAGCAGACCCCGACGACTGCCGACCGCCGGAGCGCTAACCCCACCGTGCCGGTGCCGCCGAGGGTGGTGGTGTCGCAGCGGGAGGAGGAGAAGAGCCTGGCCTCCGTGGTGAAGCGCCCTGCGCTGCTCGAGGAGCGGAGGCCGCTGCCTCCTATACTCCCGCCCCCGCGCGCTCCGCGATTTGATCTCTCTCCGTATCTCCCGCTCGTAAGTCATGCTAGCTGTACCATACCTGCCATAAAAGCTGGTCGTAACTTTCACGAGTGATGTACTTTTTTTTTTGGACACACTGATGACTGATGTGCTATTTTAGTCCATTTCCCTTGGGTTATTGCAGCTGCTGGTCGTAACTATCGCAAGCTCTACCCTCGCTATTTGGCAATGGATAAAAGTTATGGGACTCCAGGTTATCTCTTTGATCTGTGAAATTATGTGCTAACTGCTTTCCATCACGGTTCACACCACTAACAATTTAGAAGTCTTTAACATTGTGCCAGGAAAAGATCAGATCATGCAGCTTCGGCAATGCTGGGGACCGTGAGGGTACTTGGATTGATGGGGACCACGGCTCTGCTTTTATTGGTTCGGGGAATTGGAATTTAGCTCCATCTAGCACCATCTTTGCTCTTGCAGTTCCATTGTTCCTGTTTAAGTACATTGATCAGCTCCGACGGAGACTGACAAATTCCGTGAGGGGAGAAAGTGGAGAGGAAGAAGTGCCTCTCAAGAAGAGGATCGCCTATAAAGTTGATGTGTTCTTCTCAGGACACCCATATGCAAAGCTTCTTGCCCTCCTGTTAGCCACCATAATTCTCATTGCTTGGGGTGGGATTGCGCTGTATGTTGTTAGTGGCAGTGGATTCCTGGAGGCTCTCTGGCTTTCCTGGACTTTTGTGGCAGATTCTGGAAACCATGCCGACCAGGTTGGCTTGGGGCCGAGGATTGTATCCGTGTCAATTAGCTCTGGGGGCATGCTGGTGTTTGCCACAATGCTTGGGCTCGTGTCAGATGCAATATCAGAGAAGGTGGATTCTTGGCGCAAGGGAAAAAGTGAGGTGATAGAGATCAACCACATACTAATTCTCGGATGGAGTGATAAGCTGGTAACATTCTGATGGAAAGCTGTTTTAGTATGTAAAAAAAGATATGATCTGATAATATGCCCTGCATTTTTGTACTGTATCCTCTAATATCACTGAAACTGTGCTGCAAATGCTAAATTCTGTCTTCTTCAAGGTTGATATGATTGAATTGTTCGTCTGACGATATCTGCACTGTGGACCAGGGCTCTCTTCTGAAGCAGCTAGCTATAGCAAACAAGAGTATTGGTGGTGGTGTAGTTGTTGTTCTAGCTGAAAGGGACAAGGAAGAGATGGAGATGGACATAGCAAAGCTAGAATTTGACTTCATGGGAACATCTGTAATATGTAGGAGTGGCAGTCCTCTAATTCTAGCAGACTTGAAGAAGGTAGAATTTTCAGAGATTATTCTCATCTGGTTATCCTTGGTCCATGTTCTATGCAGCGATGATTTCATCTCATTCCATATTAAGATCTCAAATAGCAGACCTCAGATGCTTTTTTTTTCAGGTTTCTGTTTCTAAAGCGCGGGCCATTATTGTTCTAGCATCTGATGAAAATGCAGACCAAGTTAGTAATTTTGTTCTATACACATTTAATATTTTTGGAGCTAACATGTCATATTATTGCATATGCTCACATTCTCTGTGTCCCCTAGAGTGATGCACGGGCATTGCGCGTTGTGCTGAGTCTGACTGGAGTCAAGGAGGGTCTAAGAGGCCATGTTGTTGTAGAGATGAGTGATCTTGACAATGAACCTTTAGTGAAACTGGTTGGCGGTGAACTAATTGAAACAGTTGTTGCCCATGATGTGATTGGACGTTTGATGATACAATGTGCACTTCAACCTGGCCTTGCACAGGTACATCTCAGTGCT